GACACGCATTGCGGCAGCGCGGTAGACATTTTCTTGCCCCTCTAATAACTTCTTATTAACGAGAGAAGGTCTATCTCAGAATTGGGACGTACTATATAGGCTATAAATTTTTAAGTATCCACCATCTCCTTTCCTTATAAGATTTACGAATCTCCAATAATCCAATCTTCAATAAGTATGTACATAATTATAATGAGAAAGCGCTAACAAAGCTGTAACAGGAGCGATTTCTTGCAAATGAAACCCCATCTTCGATGTTTCGGTAGCAATTAAGCAAGCTGATCGAGAGATTCGCTTGCCTTGTTGGCACTACTCGCCGAACTTCACAGGGCCGAGCGCTTCGTACGAGCCTGAGCACAGAGTAAAGATTAAGGTCGGTTTCTTTACTGATGTGCCTGAAGTGCGACCGATTAAACTCTGCTTGGCCAAAGCGCCCCTCGCCGAGCGTTTCATTATGTCGTATGTTACTCATTTTCGTTAATTTATTTATTTTTTATAACTTTATTATATCTAAAAATAAAATAGGACTAGAATTATTATTATTCAAACGATCAAATGAATTGTTTTCGAAATCAAATTATGATAATTGATTACAAATATTCGTGTCGCAAACTTTAAAAACTAATTGTTAGTGAGGTAGAAATACCGAGTCGTCAAGACTACAGTTAAGATTTAAAACATTATGTACTCGTATATTAGTTTTAAATAAACAATAGAATAGGAGTTTTATTTTATAGAAACGTGACAATCATCAAGAACTCGTTGCTAAGATACCTAATAATTCTAATATCTAATTTATAAAAATTTACTTTGGTTTTTTGTTTTAGCGCTCGCTGTAAATTTCACAGTAGTGATGCTACAGCATACAGCAAATGTAATTAACGCGAGCAACCCGCGTTCGATCCCCGCCGGCACCACTGCGGTAAAGGAAAACATCGTAAGGAAACCTGCATGTCTGAGAATTAAAGAATATATATATTTCGAAGATATGTGAAGTCCGCCAACACACACACTTCCTTGCCCTAAAACCCTCTCAGAAGTGAGAGGAGGCCTATGCCCAGCAGTGGGATGTATATAGCTTTAGCTTTTACATTACTTTTTTACTTTTGTTCGTATTTTATGCGCTGCCATACGTTACAGTTACAGTGGGTGGCGCGCGTGTAGTACCATCAAATTTATTTGAAAGTTGTATATTATATCATTATTATAATTCTCCCAAATTTAAAACGATATTACCACAATTATTTCGTCTGCGGCAGCCACGCGCCGTGTACCAGCTAGTATCATATATTTTTCTTAAAAACATAGTCACTATATCTAGGATCACACGGTACCTACATAAGTGAGCTGGATTCCATTCGTAATCCGATTTTATATGCTAATTTATCACTTGCTGGGCGGAAAAGGGAACCATCGAGATAATTATATCTGCTTGGATGAAAATATTTCGAAATCATGATGTGCATCTGAGTATGTGGTAGTGAATCCACTACCACATACTCAGAAGCTCTAAGACTCCGTATCATTCCGTGAATATTGTAAAAGGCGATATAGGAAAATAAAACAGGAGATAGGCAGCAGTATCTTCCTGATAACATGCGTAAGCATCACATTAGTCTGTGCTGATAACAAATAAAAATAATAAAAATTTGCGGTTTCCAACCCACCTGTCAAGAGAGGAAACAATAGCAAATAAGAGATCTATGTTCAGTAGTGGCCCTATGAGACCTATTTTCAGCAGTGGCCATTTGAGACCTATGTTCTGCAGTGGCTATAATGAATGTAAGAAAGTTGGATAATATCTTGAATATATGTTTACAGTTAATACTGCTAGGAATAATTAGGCAGAAATATACCGGCTCAATTAAAGTAGATTGCATAGAGACTTTTTCAACGATATATTTAACTTACCACGATAGTGCGAAATTCCGTATTCGACAACTTTTTTTTTGTATCAAGTCAAATGAGTCAACAATTAACGTTCATTGATATAACTGAATATTACACTTATATAATACCTACCAGCAAACAAACATTTTGGGCAAATGTTCGGAGCCATTTTTTAAAAATGGTTTAAAACTGCTAAACTCCGTCATCATTACAGTTATCTCTAGATCCATAAGTAATCACTGGCAACACGCAGTGGTTATACAATCTTGTTTGAAGTTTTAAGGTATGCTTGCGCTTGTACTTTTTATTAGTTTGTGGGTATGCCTGACGAGAATATTTGTCGCGATCTCCCGAACGCTGCTCAGTCGAGTTGAATCCGTCGATTGGCCTCTCGTTCGAAGTTGGACTTACCTAATCGAACTATTTGTCCGTGGGGAGACACTATTGAGGTCATAGAATTCATTGAGCATAGTGCTTAGGTTCTCCAGCGATTCTGGCATAAGGAATATATCGTCGGCAAAATAAAGTTTAGTTATGTACTTGTCTTGTCATTAATGTTAATACCGTATCCTTTCCAATCTAGTAGCTTGAAAACGTCTTCCAATATTTTATCGCGTTTAATTTAACAACTTCTTTCAATAAATTTGTCTCTTTTTGTGTTATTTTAAAACTAAATTTTATTTGAAATTTAATAAAGGAGGACGAGTGTATTCATTTTCTTTATATAAGTTGTAGATTCCCTGCATGCATGATAAATACATAATAATAATTATGTATGTAATTACCATAGACTTAGAATATACTATACGCCAGTATATTCTAAGTCTATGGTAATTATTCTGAAGAATAGTCTCTTTGTACTGGTCACACTCGTGCTTTTAACCTTTTAACCAGTGCTACCATTTTCGCGCTTTGGGCGCTAGATCTAGCGCTTTTTTGTGTGTTTAGCGCGCATTTCAAAATTTTAGCACCTAGCGCTTAATCTAGCGCTTTTTTGTGCACTTAGTACACATTTTAAAATTGTAGCTTTTAGCGGGTTATCCAACTCTTTTACACTTTATGTCATGGCAGCACTGTTATTCTACATTACCCATAGACTATAAGCGGGGAAATCCCCTTCATTAAAACTTTCGTTGGTTTTGGCAATTCATTTATTTTCTTTCATTCAGTTTCAGTCAGTTGTTTAGAGCACAGTTAAGTTAAAAGTTACAATACAAAGAAAGTGTATAGGTCCGTTCGTAAATATTAAGTTTTGTGTGTATTTAGCAATTTTGTGAGTAGACTTTATAATAAAATGGAAATGCCATTACGTAAGCAATCTGTATATAAGCAAAGATATAAAACTGAGTGGGAAAAGTCACCAAAATACAAGCAATGGCTGAAACCAGTATCTGGCGATGACACAAGAGCAATGTGTACATTTTGTAAAAAGGAATTTCATGCAAAAATAAGTGATATTCAAAGACATTATGATTCGGCAAATCATAAAAAACAAGCAAAACCTTTCCTAGACAATAGACAAACATTGATTACGTCCGTGGTTCAAAAACCCGTCGAAAAAACCTCCTTGGAAGCTGAAGGAGCTCTTGCAATGTACGTTGCCGAATACTCGTCTATACAAGCAATCGATAACCTGACAGAGTTATGTAAAAACAAAGGGTTAGTTATCAATTCTTAAAAAGGCATGCAGGAGAAAATGGGAGACCATTTTCTGTCACCATCTCCCTATCTATCAGCGAAACGTCAAAACAAATACAGAAAACTATACGAAGCAATAAATTGCGGAGAAGAACCACTGAAGATTTTAAAAGCTTGTGATACAAGATGGCTGTCAATCGAACCCGCAGTAAGTCGAATTCTAAGCCAATGGATCGAACTAAAACTACATTTTGAAATCATGAGAACTAGAGAAAATTGCTATTAAGCCGAATTACTGTATAATATGTTTAATGATGAAAGGAACAAAATTTTTTTGCAATTTTTATGTGGCACGCTTAAAAATGTTCAAGAATCAATAAAAATCTTCGAAAGCAAAACTTCAAATCCCTGTCTGTTATACAACACGCTTTATGATTTGATAAGAAATTTGTGCACTAAAATAATTATTACTAAACCAGGATTGCAATTTGACTCTCTTAATGTAAGAGAACATCTTTCCATGAGTACTTTTCTTGGATACTTATTTGAAAAAGAGATCAATGAGTCTGCATTAGATAATGAAGAAAAAAAAATGATCAAGAAAAGGTGTGTTGATTTTATAATAAAGCTGACAACAAAGAATGCCGGAAAACTTAAAACTATTAAAAAATACAATGGCGCTATCAGCTTCAGTTATTTTAAAGCCAAATAGACTCTTTGAAAATTTTATAAAAGTCTTAGAGAGTCTTGGATGCACAAACGATATGGATAGTATTGTTCAGCAACGGTAAACTATAATACTGCAAGAGTGGGTCCATACTGAAGACACAGTGAAATTCTGGGCTGAAGTTCAGCAGTCGAGGGATGCAGCTGGCAATTGTCCTTATAAAGAATTGTTTGAAGTGGCCACAAAGGTAATGAGCATACCGCATTCAAATGCTGATATCGAACGTGTGTTCAGTTTAATGAATGTTGTAAAAACTAAGTTGCGAAATACATTGCACTTAAAAACAATTAATTCCATTTTAATTGTTCGTACAGGACTAACTGCTGTTGACAGAAATTGTTATAATTATTAGCTTCCTGTCGATGTTTTGCGAAGTATTGGGACATCAGAAAAATATAGCTAGAAAAAAAACGCTGATGAAGCTGGCCCTAGTTCAGTAACTTTTTAATTTAAAATCAATTAATGTTGTCTCGATAACGAAATTAAACGATTTGGTTGAACTTTGTTTGTGTTTTTTATTATAATTTATAATTCAAGAAAAAATGTAGTTAGTTTAGCGTGAAATCTAGCGTTTTTTTAAAGCGCTGTTTTCATAAAATCTAGCGCTTTTTGTATCGTCTTAGCTCTCTGATCTGAATGAGTTTTTTGATCTGGCAGCCCTGCTTTTAACTGTCATCTGTCAAGTTTTCATTTTGATGGTTGCAATGTTTATTGTTTATTTTTTAATCTTTAATTATTTAGAATAATGGCCACAAATTTAGATTTTAATAAAATTTGTCGTGCATGTTTATCTGATGCTGGACCACTTAAAGAAATATTTACTGTATGTTCAGTTGAAGTATTCAAGTATTGCACTTCCGTAGAGGTGAGAACAAAGATACGTTTCAAAACAAACGTAGACAACACGTTTGTTGTGCATTATTTCCGTAAAAAATTTGTACCTGCACTTTAGTGCAAACAAGGACGTGTATGTTAGTGTTATTAAGTGCGTGGCTGTGGTTAAAGTACTTGGTAATTATACCATGTATCTTGGGTGAGAATCTCAGCGCAGCTCAATATTTACTTGTGGTAGAGCCACACAGCAACTATTTTAAGACTGCATCACAAATGGGCCTACTCAACGAAGATAGGATCCCTCTCACAGAATACCATTGTGAAATAGCTGCTTATTGCTGCTGTGTTTTGTATGGTGAGTGTATAGAACCGGAGGCCCTATTTAGTGGTAATGAGGCATTCTTAGTCGTCAGGTGTGACTACACATTTACATTTTGAATAGAGATGTAGGTGTCTGTGCGCTACTCACAGCATCCATTTACCATCGGGTGGACTGTGTGCTTGTTTGTCAACTTTATTCTATATTGATTCTATAAACAAATATTTGTGAGAAACACAAATTGTTGATTATCAGGTCTAGTTATCTTGTAAAGGTATGGGTAAGTTGGGATAAGCCTTTTTGTGCATACACTTGTGATACTATGAAACCTTTAGTGCACTTAATAGTTTCTGTTTATTGGAAAGATGTTGCTAGAAAGTTGGTCAGAAAAATATTACTATTACTTAAACTGTACATACTCATGATTTTACTAACTTGGTTATTACTATATTGACCAATTAAAAAAAAAAAAGAGTGATTTAGAGATTTTTATTTTTCATATATTTGATCATTTGATTACTTAGTAGAACTTGTTATGCAAAATAACTACAGAGGTGACTCTATAATGTTTTAGTTTAGAAACTAGTAATAATAAAGAGGTATCTTTTACAGAATAATAAAGACCTACTTATGATTTTGAGCTAGAAACATATTTTTTTTAATTATTGTTTATTATATTTTAAGATTTCAGAAAGTGATGCACTTCCCAAGTTAATCTGCCAAACATGCCTTGACTTGCTGAATAAATTGTACTACTTCAAGCAAGTAGTTGTGCGCTCTAATATTATATTGAAGCAGCAATGCTCCATGCATATTGATAAGGTAAGATATGTGTAGGGAACTTGAAAGAATGTCTGAACAGTGTTTAGTTTATACAAACATACTTCTGTTACATCCCTGGATAATAAATATATATTTATCTATATTTAATATAATAAAGGGGGTGGGGATAAAGTTATCACATTAAATAAAAAGACTTATCCTACATAACATTCTTTGATCATACACAACTAAAAAAATATATTACATAATGATTTCTTATATTTACGCGAACACTACACATTTTTAAATAAAACTAATTTTACGGAGTTTATCACGTATATTAACTTATTTTTATATTCCCGGCTAGCCCGGCTACCTTCAGTTTTTTAATATTAATTTTTGGTTCGATTTACGTAAATCTGTAATATATTTTTAAAATAATTTAAAAATATATTACAATTAACATTCTAGTCGCAATAGCCCTTTTTTTCGTTTTTTGCCTAATTACTTATGAGTGGGAAAGTGTAGGTAAATAATTACCCATGTCGATGCCACGTGAGCACTGCGTTCCTGCCGCACCGCTTTTACATGTCACTTCTGGTCAGTAAACTAATATTATCAAGGTGATTTATTTCGTGTCTATTTTTACCCTATTTATTTTGTTTGTAAGAAGTACTTTTTTATTTTTGGTGGAATTGTTTATTTCATTATTTTAATCGACATATATGAACTTGTATGTAGTGCTGTGTTATTTAATGTGATAACCTAATCGCCAGTATACAATCTATATCTAGTATCTACTACTGTTAGATTGTTATGTTTTTATTCCTTAAATTTTATTATTGTATAAACTAGGCACCTAAAACTGCCCAGCTATATCACCCATTATTAGATGCCAAGGAAACAAGATGTATGTAGATGTGAAAAAAAACATATACAATCCTTCTATATTGTTCTATTGCTCAAAATTTTGTTTTTAATTTGTCTTGTTTTTGAGGAGGAAACAGGAGAATGCGAGTTGTAGAACATCCAAGCTTCAGTTGTCTCTCTTGGTTGTCTAGCTGGGTTGTTCGGGGACAACACAACAGCAATAGTTTGTCAAAACCTATTCTTCAAATTTCTTGTAGCTCCAATATCATCTTAATGTGAAAAATATAAATATCTATATCTATAAAATGTTATGTCTATTAGAATTATGTATAGTATATATGTTTTTAATTTATATTGTATAATAAATGTTCTTATTGCATATAATATTTAAACCTTAAAATATTATAGAAAATATTTATCAAATAAGCTAAAAAATAATAATAGAAATTTACAGGAGCTGAAACTGGAACAGCATAATGCCGAAAACAATATTGTACAAGTTAACCTGAACAACCTCACTGATGCTCAAATACATGGCAACAGTAATATCAGACGAGAAGAGCAGCCAAAAGTTAGGTATGATAAAATATTAAGACTAAATATAATTGTCTATTTTTTGTTATTTTATTTGTGTATGAAAAATAAGCTATATACTTATGATAATGGGTATTTGAATACCACTGACCACATTCTGCAGGTGGCCAACACTAAGGTTAAAAAGGTTTGAGTATAATGCCCTAGTTCCTATTGAGGATAAAGAATGGCTCATAGCCTGTAGTTAGTTATATTAGCTTTCTCACTTTTTAAACCAGAATACAAAATCATTGTTGGTTACGGTAACTGTGTACTACTACTTATAGTCTAAGATCCCAACAAATGATTAATTCACCCATCTATTGTACTTTTTAAGTTCTTTATAGTGTTTTTGACATCATTGATTTTTTTTAATATAAAACATGTGAATGAAATTGCTTAGGAAAAATTAAAAAAAAATTAAAGTGATATTTACCCAGATGGGCTTTCATGGGAAGAAAAAGATCCCTGCTATGGTAATATAAATCTAATTATAAATGTTTATGTGTGGTACAGCCATGCTGCAGTTATATTATGGTTCTAACAAAAATAGATAATCTTAACCGGGGAAGAACCACACTCTCACAGAATACCAGCATAAAATAGCAGCGTAATGCTGCTTAGTTTCATATAGTGAGTGTAAAGAGCCAGAGAGACCTTTTTACTGGGTATGCGGCATTCCATCTCAGCCTTCAGGGGTGATAAAGCATCTGATTCTTTATTGAGGATAGATGTGGATGGCTATGGGCCCGTGTGCTCGTTTGTTTTCATTATTCTATAAAGAAAAACCAGATGTATGTCTCTTTGTGTGTAGCTCTTATACTTTCTTTATTATTTTCTATTTTAACCTGGCATACATATGGTTGGATCGATATTGCCGGGGCAGTTTGCACTTTCTATTAATTTTTTTACATTGCAATGGTATGCTGTTTAAAAATTAAACATCCAGTATAATGTTTCATGCTGAATGAGCAAAATATTTAAAGTTGCTCTGTTATCTTTGAATTTTTCTTTAAAATGGATCACAAGGAATTTAAACAACAACATATAATGTTTCTATCTGATGTGAAATAAAGAAAGAACAATGGCAGACTTTCATACATAAAATTAGTTGAAAAGGAATAGTAGCCTCTATATATCAAAAATATCTTAAAATGTTAAGCGTCAGTCGCTTAATAACTCTGTCAAAGAATTTTGTCCTGAGAAGGCGTCAAAAAAAGATATTTAGATTGATTTGAACCTTTTTAGGTTATGTCTTTTGTCACTTGGAAAAGTCATGCTTCCTGTGGTTGTTTGATGTTAGCTTAATACATGATTGAGAGTTTTTAGATTATATTTATCTCTATCATATATTTGCATACTATAAATGTATATTTCTGCCATGGCTCCAGGGCCTGTGTGTCATAATGACATTCTCAGAAGGGTTAGAACCCAGAGCCAATGTAAATCCAGCAGAAAAACAATGACATTTTGTTTTACCTAGTGTTGCCATAACATTAAATGGAATTTTTACATAGGGGATAAAACTAAGAAAGAAGAAGAAGAAGTACATAGTACTATGATCATAGATATAGTTACAAACTAGTAAGAAGTGCTAGCGGATATAGTATGAATATACTAAATGGCACCACTTGAATAGAGTAAAAGGATTTAAGTCAGTTGATATTCCCAAAAATGTCTGTTTTTTCTGTGGCTTTAATTAAAATACATTTTATTTGAAAAAATCATAGTAAAATAATAAAACTCATTATATATATATCTTATTTCTAGAGGCGATAATTTTTGTCAACTATTTTTCTGCCATTGTTCTTTGTGTTGATGTGTGATGAAAAAATTAATTCACTTCATCATTCATTCGTAATTTTAATGATAAGGCTGTAATTACTGTCATTTTATTAAACATATTATTTTCTATTAATAGGAGAAGAAGAAGAGCACAAGCACAATGTACAGAACAGCCTATAAAAAAGAGAGAACGAATGAAATGCATGAAATGTGGGAAAAATTTTCAGAAGTATGAGAATTTTGAAGCTCATATGCGTAGTCATTTTGGCAAGAAGGTAAGTTAAGTTATATATCTGGCTTATGCACTAGGTAACAAGGTAGAAGTAGTGATCCATATTGAATTAAAAACAAAACTAAACAAACTGTTATTTGAATGAGAAAACTTGATTTTTCTTCATTCTAGTGTAAGTACATAAATTCCATTTAGCCAACTGTTTAGGCTTTCCGTGATATCTGATTCTGGGTAGATGCTTATTAAGGCAATTGTGGCCAACATACTACAGTTGTTATCAAAAAATATTTCTTAGTTTTTTAAAAAAAAATAGGAATAGGGTGACAAGCGAGCACACAGTCCACCCGATGGCAAGTGGCTGCTGCGGCCAATAGACATCCACATCTAGTCAGCCGTGAGGACTAAGATAGAATGCCTCTTTTCCAGTAAAAAGGGTCTCCGATTCTCTATTCTGACCATACGAAACAGCAGCATTAAGCTACTATTTTACGCTGGTATTCTGTGAGAGCGTGGTCCTTCCCCGGTCGAGTCGACCCATTCGTGCTACAACTATACAATTAATACAGCTGTAGCATGGCTCTACCACGTTTAAGTAGTAAGCTTCTAAAAACATAAGCCAACATATTGGATGGAGTTCACTTTTTAAAAATAATATCATTTAAATGACCACCCTCGCGACTTCGTCATTCCTATAAACGAGCACGGACATTTTCGAAAACTGAAGACCATGAGATTGATGTTGTTATCTCTTCTTTTATCCTTGCCTTAAAGTCGTGCAATGTTTTCAGCATATGCGTGTACACCCGATGTTTCAGATATTCCCATAAAAAGCAGTCTGCTGGCGTCAAATCAGGACTCCTGGGTACCCACAGGATGTCACCTCTCCGAGAAATCAGATTTTCCGAGAACATCTCTTTAACTACCGACAGGGATGAATCCCTAATGAGTTAACGAGGTGTTTCTAGTAGCTTGCTGGAACCAGGTATTCCAGTTGTAACCAGTAAATTCCTGTAGCTGTGGTGACAGAAACTCGCTTAACATCCTCATATATTCTGTAGTTACAAAATGACCGTGAAAATCCTCGAAGAAATTTTTTTTATAGAAGAGAGGGCAAACGTGCATGCGGCTCACCTGATGGTAAGTGACTACCGCCGCCCATGAACAACCGCAACACCAGGGCAATTGCAGATGCGTTGCCGGCATTTTAGAAAGGTGTAAACTCTTTTCTTGAAGGTCCCTAAGTCGTATCGGTCCGGAAAAATCGCCGGTGGTAAACAATTCCACAGAGAAGTTGTACAAGGAAGAATACTCCTAGTAAAACGTACAGTCGTGGACCGCCAAGCATCCAGATGGTGAGGATAATATCGTGAATTTTGACGCGATGTGCGTTCGTGAAATTTGGCGGCTGCAATTAATCCAAACAATTCCTCAGAGCATTCCCCGTGGTAAATTCGATAGAAAATGCAAAGGGATGCAACATCCCTATGCAGTGCCAGTGTATCGAGCCGATCAGAAAGAACTCTGTCGTTGCCGATTCGAACCGCTCTGCGCTGGATGCGGTCAAGTGGAAGGAGCTGGCACTGGGGTGCCCCGGCCCAGAGATGAGAACAGTATTTCATGTGAGGCCGGATTTGCGCTTTGTAAAGTTGCAAGCGATGTGCCGGCATGAAATACTGTCTCGCTCTGCTGAGCACGCCAAGCTTTTTAGAGGCCAATTTGGCCTTCCCTTCCAAGTGACCACGAAACTGCACACTATTCGATATGTCGACGCCGAGGATTCCGATGCTAGCTGAGGCAGCAAGGGGAGTGCCTTGAAACTGAGGAGATACAACAAAGGGTTTCTTTTTAGCGGTAAACGCGCAAACTTGTATCTTCTGGGGATTGAACTGGACTAGATTTAGTCGCCCCCAATCCGAGACTTTGTTCAGCAAAGACTCGACTTCAGACACAAGTTTGTCCCGGTACTCGGCGACGTTTTCCCGAGAAATATTAGCACGGCCGGTATATAAGGCATCACCAGTGCTGTCGTCTGCATAGCAATGAATGTTACCAGTCTGCAACATATCATTGATATGCAGGAGAAACAGCGTTGGTGATAGCACGCAGCCTTGTGGAACACCAGCGTTGATAGGCTTGAAATAAGAGCATGCGCCGTCTACTGCAACCTTGATGCTCCGATTAGCAAGGAAACTGGTGATCCATTTGCACAATTTCTCGGGAAGCCCATAGGAAGGAAGCTTCGAAAGAAGCGTTTTTTCCAGACTCGATCGAAGGCCTTCGCTATGTCCAAACTAACGGCCGATGCCTCCCCCTTGGACTCTACTGCCTCCGCCCATCTATGTGTCAAGTTGACCAGAAGATCACCAGCTGATCTACCCCGACGGAAACCGTACTGGCGGTCTCTAATCAGCTGGTGATCCTCAAGGTACCTCATGAGCTAGCAGTTCATAATGGATTCCATTATTTTGGAGAACAAGGAGTTGATGGCGATAGGCCTGTAGTTGGACGGGTCTGAGCGGTCGGGTAAATAGGGTCTAATGATTCCTTTAGCTGAAATTGTTGCCCGTAGGGTTACCTTAGGCTAATGAAGGGGCCTGCTTTAGGATTTACACTGCTCCAGTACCTGCCGTTCTGTTTATTAACGTGACCATTGAGGTGAAATTGGGCTTCTTCTGAAAAAAAAAATGTTGTCTAAGTTACGTAAGCGATCCGACATTATGTCGTAATTCCTCCACTAAATGAATATTGTATGGGTGTAATTTTAAATCTAATTTCAAAATACGGCGTAAGGTTGTGCGTGATATTCCTAATTCAGTCGAACGTTTACGTATCGATGAATCAGGATCATGATCACTCAAAAGATAAACTTTCCGCACGTTCTCTTCACTCTGTGAAGTCCGTGGGTCGGCAGTTTGCTTTAAATTTAGTGTTGATCCCATCTCTTCGAACTTCTCCACTGCTTAACATCGTGTAAATCGTGCTCAAAGCGAAACAAGCTCCTCGTCAGTAATGAGCGAAAAATTGTACAAATAAAATGACTCTATGCAAAAGGCGTGCTGCGGCCCCGTGAACGGATCCATTGCGACAAAATTTCCGAGAAAAGAGCTAGCCGCTAGATCTCGCCTTGCGTTCCGCGCCCCTTGCGTTTGCGCGGGAAATCAAATTTTGATGTAAACTAATTCATAGCCCACCTTGTAGTTCCTTCCACTTTGCAAGACGTCACCAATTCATTGTTGCAGATGTCAAGCTTCAAAGATGAACTCTTTACGAAAATGAATCCTTTCTCGTAAGTTCACTCATATAGCTTCGCATTATTATTCTCAGTAAATCACATCACGTCGGATTTAAAAATGTCCAAATTTGCGTAGAAGGTTCAGAATAAGCAATATAGGTGAATGGTGAAGGAAAATTAATTAAAAAAATTAAACATTCTGTCCTCTTTATCATTTAAAATCAGAATGCGTGGTAATACATTCTGAATTTAAATTTAACTGATTGTCATTCATAAATATCTAACGCTTAATATTTTACTACGCACGCACAACACATTCATAACGGTCGATCGGTCGGCAAAAACGTTGTGAATTAATCGCACACGGAGCGCGCTTATGCGTAGTTGTTACCCATAAATTCAATTTAGATAATAATTTAAAAAAAGCTTATTTACTCGTATTTTCAAAAACTGCAATAACGATATATCTTTATTTACATATTTGTACTTAAGAATAAAATTTGGCTACTATTTGAAAAATAACGCTGTATAATAAATAATAATGTAGTACTTAGCCTGAAGTCAATTTAGATGAACCTCTCTTATACAAGGGAGGATCAGAGTAGTCGCTCCTCGTCGTTAATTTATATATAATACGAGATGTGTTTAAGCTATCAGAGACTTATATCTAAGTTCGTCTCGACCCATAACACATGGGTTGAAGTGGGCAAAAAAAAAGGGAATCTTTCATGTATGTATTTTACAGCCCGACATAAAGTGCAAGTACTGCGACAAGACATTCCTGACGCTCCGCAACCTGAACAGCCACGTGCGCGTGCACACGGCCGTGCGCAAGTACCAGTGCCGCACCTGCAGCAAGAGCTTCGCCTACCTCAACGTGCTCAAGAACCACGAGATGATACACGCCGGCCTCAAGAGGCACATGTGCCACCTCTGCGATGCAAAGTTTGTGCAGGCCTACAATCTCAAGGTAGAAACCTATCATTTGGCGATGTAATGCTACTTAGCTTTATCCAAGGTATCAACAGCGCATACAATGCCATCAAGATAAGATATAATATATAGGATAGGAGTTTCAATGACCTCGAACTATCAACTGTCACTTGAAAAACTATTTCGCATACGTAACGGTTTTCTATTATCTATTGAACATTATTTAATGAAGTTTTAGCATTACAAAATCTATTAATTGCAAACTATTTGCACTAACCAGAGACGATTGGCAGAAAGAACTAAACCATATCAAATTAATCGCGAATGAAGGAAAACTATTTCGCATACGTAACGGTTTTCTATTATCTATTGAACATTATTTAATGAAGTTTTAGCATTACAAAATCTATTAATTGCAAAGATTTGCACTAACCAGAGACGATTGGCAGAAAGAACTAAACCATATCAAATTAATCGCGAATGAAGGAAAACTATTTCGCATACGTAACGGTTTTCTATTATCTATTGAACATTATTTAATGAAGTTTTAGCATTACAAAATCTATTAATTGCAAACGATTTGCACTAACCAGAGACGATTGGCAGAAAGAACTAAACCATTTCAAATTAAATTTTGGCACTTCTAAAACCATAGTTTAAACCAGAGACTATAACCATGTTTTCTAATAAAACTTAGAGTTTTCTTTGAATAACAGTCGGTGGGAATAGTATTTTAGATACTACGAATTTAATCCGTGTTCTATTTTATAGAGGAAAGCAGCAGTAACGATGATGATGACTACTTTGAGAATGACGCAGAAATGAGATGAATTGATGAGTTAGGTTTAGTTTAAAACTTTATCGTTCGAGATATTAAATTGCAATTGAAAACTTAAAATTGCAATTAATAATTTTGTTGCGGTAGCAAGGGCATTGACTTCCAAGTTACTCGCACATCATGAAGTTTTCAGCGAACCCTTATACTTTGAGCTATAACAGTCGCTTAACCAAGGTTCTAATAAGACTAAACAAGCCGCAGATCAGGATAGTAACAAGTTCTATCACAGGACACGGCACCTTTAACAAACATTCACAGTAGGTGTTACAAATAGTCCCCTGTGCAGGGCATGTATGGGGCAGGAAGAAACGGCGGCCCATGTGTTGCTGACATGTCCGGAGGTCACTACATACATGGCTAAATATCTTGGCACGCCGGGATCACTCCCCGAAGTTGCCCGCAACATCAAAGGACTGTTTAACTTCTTTGGGGAGATCTCATGGCTCGAATAATTACATTATTCCTACCCACACGTGACGTGGAGTTGCGGAAAACAATCCATCGTAAACTAAACTATACCCTGAGCTACTGTAGCTGCAGATTATCATAGAGACTCACACCTGTCACCCAGAGGTGAGGGCAGAGACTACGGACTTCCATTTAGCACGATCTTGACCCACTTCTCTCGTCTCCTTTACATCCATATACCTACGCATACATGCTGGTCGGTTAAGGGTACTTTTAATCTGGCCTATTTTCCTGTCTGAATGAAAAAAAAAAACAAGATAGTAATTTTTTTTAATATTGTGTAATTTTACTTTATTTCAGATGCATATAGAGACTCACAACAATGAGAAAAACTATGGGTGCTCTCAATGTGGCAAGAAGTTTGCGCAGCCTGGCAACCTTAAAATCCATCTCATTCGACATACTGGAATCAAGAACTTCGCCTGCACAATGTGTGATATGCGGTTTTATATTAAGGTGTTCTTGTCTGTTCTAACAAACCTTATAGAAATTATCTTATTTTCCTTCTATTTCAGTCCAAAAGTTTACTGTTGGACTTGACCTCTACTGTTGTAAGCGTATTTGTCTTAATCGTCACGCTTTTTTTTTATAGAATAATGGTGACAAGGAGCACACAGTTTACCTGATTGTAATTGGATTGGAGTGGAGCATATTGACATTATTGACACTCCTGCCAGTTGCCGGTCTGGGTATATTTTACCTGCGGTCTGCATTTCTCACAGTTGTCTCTTACCACACCCACGAGGCGAAATTGTTTGATTCTACGACGGATAGATGCCACTAATGGCGGCGGAGAATCCGTCCATAATTAATCAATTTTTACCATCCGTCAAGTGTCATATCCCTCTACAAGATACAAGAGTGTAGAAGCTGGATTGTGAATGTGGTCTCTCCAAAACTAATAAAAAAGCTGAAGGTACTCCGGGCTGGCTGACATTGGGACCTCAATCACCTCAGTGCCCCTGTGACCATGGGTGTTGTAAAGCACCCGAAACGTCGGGAAAAAAGTTTAATTAAACGCGATAGAATCAGTAAAAATTAGTTTCATTTAATGTACGTACCACTATTGAGCACAGGCCTCATGTCTGAGGGTAATAATGTGGTTAGTCCTCCGAACTGACTCAGTGTGTGTTGTCGGACTTCACTTGTCATGGAAATTTTCATTTTTCCTTTACCGCTGAGTTCGTTGGAAACGAGCACTTAAAATTGCAACTACCCCCAATAATATCATGTGAACATAGCATAATAAGCATCCTTGGTTTTTAGTTCAATAAGTTCTTAACGCTTTGATTGGGGTAGATATTACCTTGTCATGATTCGCAAAAAAAAGGGGATATATATCACAAAGAACAACTTCTCATATAATGGAGGTTATTAGGTTCTTTGAAAACCCCTAGGTCAAGAAGCCTCTCCAAAAAAAATGCATCTTATCGTGATCTTAATGTCAAGGTCAGGCATCTAGTTGTTATGCTGAAAAAACAAATAAATACTGTTTGTAAAAATATTAAATAAAATATTATAAATATTAAAACAATTACAGGCAGATCTCGTGAAGCACATGAGATCGCACTCATCAGACAAACCATTCTCGTGTCAAGTGTGTGATAAAACATTCAAGAGCAGGAGTTTCCAAGCTATACACATGCGCACCCATACTGGTATGACATTTTAAATTAATAAACTGATTTATAAATCTAAAGGTCTCTGCCACTACGATGGCTTGTACTATGATCGTATCAGGCAAAAAAAAAGTTATACCGTCTTTTTTGTAGCTGAACATTTTGATGGTTTTTGACTCAGAAATGTTGTGTGCCAAATACTCTCGTCGTATAACGCTTTTAGTCCATTCATGACACGCTACGATGCTGTTTGGTGATGAAAAAAAATTAAACTTACTTTCGGACAGACGTAAACTACATGATTTAGTTCTTTTGTACAAGCTTACACAAATGGGACTATAGATTCTGTAGAATTACTATCACAAATATTGTTCAAAGTTCCCTGCCGTGTACCGCGTTTTTCGATTCCCTTACTCAAACACAAATTGTATAAAACTAATCTTGGTCATCACTCTCTTATACCGAGAATAAGCAGATTGTATAACGAATGTGTCCTTAAAGATAAGACTATTGATTTATTTAGCGATAGTATAAAATCTTTTAGAGACAAAATTGTCAATCTATTTAATAACTCATAGTAAAAATTATACCATAACTTTATATAAACTCGATATAAATGTTGTTATTTTTATATATTCTTAATTTTCATATATTTCGTATTGTCCTTATTGTGTTTGTTTGTTTTATATTAGTATTTTACTCGTACTTGTAACAACAACTTGTACAACCTTTAAATGGAAACGTAAATCTTAGTTAGTAGATTAGAGTTATTAGTAGATAGAATCTTAGTAGCCTATTGTCACATTTTTTTTTCAAAACAACATGTTCTTCCGTTGGTGGTTCTATCAATAAAATAAAAAAAAATGATCTTGTGGGCAATGTTGCATATTAATTTATACAAAGACTATTATTTTTTGCATGTGCTGCAAGGGTTACGATCATTGAAGGGAACATTAAAGGAACGTAAAGACCTTATACTTCGGTAATAGTTTTGAACTTCAATTTCCTAATGAACATTGGATAAGACCAAAGTCTGGTTATTAGTTTTAAGAATTAAACAAAATTGTACGTGGTAGAGCCATGCTACAGCTATATTAGTTGTATAGTTGTAGCACGAACGGGTCGGCTCAACCGCGGAAGGACCACGCTCTCGCAAAATACCAGCTCAATGCTGGTGTGTTGTTGAGTGTAGAGAACCGGAGACCCCTTTTACTGGAAGTGAGGCATTCCATCTTAGTCCTCACGGGTGACAACACATCTGCATTTTGATTTGTAATAGAGGATAGACGTAGATGCCTATGGTCCGTAGCAACCACTTAAACATAGACATCCACTATAGATTTCCTCATAGTGATATCCTCCATATTTCAAATATGATATTTGACATAGTGATGTGTCCTGTGGGTGTCGCAAAAGGCGACAGAGGGAAACTCATACAGCAGGTGACAACTCAAAAAAATAAAAACTGCGGTGGTCAATCCCTCTCAAATGTTTATTATAAAATTGATAGTGTACCAACGTTAAGTTTTTTACAGGTGAACGTCCTTATGCCTGTGATCTTTGCCCAAAGAAATTTATGGCGCGAAAAGACCTTAGAAACCATAGAATGATACACACTGGGGAGAAACCTCATAAATGTCAACTGTGCAACCAAGCGTTTATACAGAAATGTGCTTTGAACAGACATATGAAGGGACATGGAAAAACTGCGGAGGACACGCAGAATATAATGGTCAGGCCGCAAATGCAACCGATGGAGAACACCACGCCTTTAGGACTGTCTTACACACATTGGCATGGGGAAGCTTGATATGATGTATAAATAATTCTAGTGTTAATTAATAATAATGGAGAGGGAAATGGGATTGACGGAATTTAGAAAAAGGGATGATGAAAACATTTTTATTCTTTATAAAAACATCTTGCACTACTATGACAACTTAATATGCTGCTCTACACCTGTGCTTGGGATATGTCAAACTATTTAATTTTAATGGCAATGGATGATGTTAATCAAAAGAAAATATTCAAATTTACCAGTTTTATCATACACAAGAAATTTGACAACACACAAGATAAGTTATATTTTTGTAAATATCTGAATTCCATTATATTATATGAACGTGCACCAAATTATTTAAAAATAAATAAATAAATATGGAATGCGTCAAACGCAAAGCGTCAATTTCAACAACCGTGATACAATAGTTTACAATATTAAGCTTTAAGTTTTATTACCTAATAAAACAAATAAATTTTACAATAATATACATATTTGATATTTTATTTATTCCCCCTTTTATTCTTAAGATTTTTTTTTTAAATTTAACAACCAGTCAAATAATAATTTCTATCACAATTATTATAAATCTGGTACCAATGAACCGATATCACCTATTGAATCTAACCCTAGTACTTCAACTCGAACGCCGGTTTTCTGTCCACGTTGCCGTACTAATGACCATTCGTTAAGACAATGTAAAGGGGAATGTTACGCGGTCTGCTTTAAATGTGGCTTAAAAAACTTTACTTACCCTAATTGTCCTAAATGTAATTCCGAACTGAAACAAAACAACTTGGCGAAGACTGTTGCACGTCAGTAGTAAAAAGTATATGGAAAACATCTTCTAACTTAAATAAGGAAGACTGGGAAAATTGGTTAACTACAATAAAAAATACTTTTCGGGTTATCCTATTGCAAAAATCCCCATCGTTTTTTATCGGGGATTTTTGCAATATTTTTTAACTCGGATGTACGCCCTTATGATACCATCACAGTAGGAGACAAACCTATGTGTGGTTTACTCGATTCTGGCTCATCTGTTACAATACTAGGTAACAACTCTCAACTTGACCTACGTTCTTCTTCTAACTTATTCATTATCAAATGCGACACCCTTCAATCATTTATTTCAGCTAGTGGTTATAAATTATCTACGGTCGGGTATATTAATCTTCCCGTTAATTTTGAAAACCAATTTAATTACCTAAAAGCCTATATTATTCCGTCGGTTACATCAACCACTCATTTTAGGTGAACTTTTTGAAGAAATTCGATATAAGAAATATTCCCAAAGTTCTCTAGGCCTATTTCACTATCTCACTAACGACCACTAAATCTCTTTTAATAATTCCATAGCCCTGCCTTCTTATAATGATGTAGATATAGTGCAAAAGGGATTCGGTAAATCTATAGGATATTGGCACATGAAAGACCTAGAACTCGTAAATTTTACGAAATAAATATTTTCCTCGGTACCTAGTAGACTAGAAACAGATAGACGGATTTTACTAGTAAAGGCTACGCAAAATCCTTCTTCAGTCGGTGCATCTGATTCCACCCTTACAAATAGTTATAAATAATTAATCTTAAATAGATAATAAAACATTCTAATCTATAAATAAAAAGTAATAAATTATTACATATTGTTAATTTAAAATAATTATTCTACGGAACCGTAGACTAGTTAATTTAATCCGCGCAGCGTGAACCATTTTGCTCACCGATCTCTAAAACAAAAGACTCGGTAGGACGAGTCCCCGTTTGGGCCATTCCTTGTCCATTTCTACCCGAGGCTGCTTCAAATTCGCAACGCGCGTGACCCTCCTACTAACGACCGTTGAACTTGCTTACCTACAATTAAAATTTAAAATATTCGAGGTGCAGTTGATCCCGCTGGGGTGAGTTCTATTTATTGAAACATTGTAACTGTTCTGCTTAATCATTATCTCTTCTGCTGAGGCTGCTTAGTGCTTAGCTTTAGGATTTTTTTTAACTTCCTAGAAGGGGTGCTGGAAATTAACTATGGTGCATATAATGCTATAGGAAGTTTCCCTAATGCTGGCCTCCGTCTTGGATTCCAGATTCTACCTACAACCTAAGGGTTACCTGCTTGCCGTGCCGCGAGCTAACGGAGTGTTGGCCTACCCTCCTACCAACGGCCATCATCACTGTCGGGCTTGGGTATCACCGGCTCCTTCTGCTAGCTGACTGTCTACGACCCTGAGGGAACAGCGCTTGGACTTCGCCCCTACGTCAGGCCAGTGATTCCCTTCACTGAAACTTACTTGTACGTGTGCGGAAGTAAGATAAATAAATTATTTACAATAAATCTTGACTTTTTTAAGAACCCACCTACTTCTGAACCTAATCGCCACACCTATTTACTGTAAACGAGGCGTTCCATCTTAGTCCTCAAGGTTGACAATGCATCTGCATTTTGATTCTTAATCAAGGATAAATGTAGATGTCTATGGGCCACAGCATCCCCTTACCATCAGGTGGACTGTGTGCTCGTCTATTATGAACTTAAAGAATAACTGGTATTGGACTCGAAGTGGCCCCAATTATAAGAAAAAAATCATGTAGTAAATACATTACTGCTGTGCTTGTGACCATTTACAAATAACTTAACCAAATCATTGTTCTGTGAATGGATATTTGTCCATATGCATTTATGTGTATAAAACGATAAAGGAGATCCTAATGTCATAACACAATGTCACAGAACAATGATTTGGTTAAGTTATTTCTTTTGAAATATTTGAACATTTTCAGACTGAATTCGAGCAAAGTACCTATAAAAATATACATAGGTACAAGAAGATAAAATTTCAATACTAAATAGAAAACTATTAACAGTTCGGTGGCAATCTTGGATTGGTTACAGCCTATTAGTCTGCCGAACTACGCCTGCATAAGTGGGATGGGGGATATTTTCCATAGTTGTCACACTTGGCAACTGCAGTTTTTAGGGTTCCGTACCTCAAAAGGAAAAAACGGAACCCTTATAGGATCATTTTGTTGTCCGTTTGTCTGTCTGTCTGTCTGTCAAGACCCTCTTTCTCAGGAACGCGTGGAAGTATCAAGCTGAAATTCATATCAAATACTCAAGTCTACTGTCCCTTAGAGCTGTAAAAAAATCAAACTTCTAAGCCAACGCAATCAAAAGATGCCGTTTATGCCGTAAATTTTCGACATTCGCAAGGGAATCAAAACCTACAGGGTACTTCCCGTGAACTCAGAATCTTGAAATTTGGTACGAAGCAACGTTTTATAGCATAGATAAAGGAAAATTTGCGAAAAGCATAAATTTTTAGTTACATCATAAAATAAAAATATTTTTAATAATTTTAAACTTATATACCTACAGATTTGTTCGGAACCCTCGGTGCGCGAGTCCGATTCGCACTTTGCCGGTTTTTCTAGGTTTATTCCCTGTTGAATATGGGGTAGTGGATATTCTTACACCGTTAGTCCACGGTCAGTCTTGGATAATTATTAATTAAATTAAAAATAATCAAACCGAGTTGTACATAGCTTTTTTATTTTGAATAAGCAGGACACTTCTATTAAAACTAGCAGTCAGTTAGTTACAGCTTATATCCTATTTAGGTCCCACAGCTCGGCACAGACCTACCCACATATATATTATATGTGAAAGCAGGTCTGTGCCCAGCTCATATATAAATATTAAATTCGATTTAATTGTAATACTGAATTTCAATCTAATTGAGAGCCAAAGAGAATTTCCCGTGTACTTTCATATGCCTATTTAGAGTTCCTCGTTGAGTGAAACTCTGACTGCACACGCCGCATCTATGCGGTTTTTCACCTGTATGGATTCTATGATGATCGTTGAGTCTCTTTTTAGCGGAGAAAGTTTTAGGACAATAAATACAAGAGAAAGGTCGTTCTCCAGAGTGCATTCTTTTATGTTCGATTAGTGACGAACTAGCCACGTAGGATTTTTCACACAGATCGCATTTAAACAGCTTCTTTCCTTCATGTAATCGCAAATGTCTTACTAAGTTACTCTTCTCTGAGAAAGAAAACGTGCATATTTGGCATATGAATCTTCTACCTCTATGACATTTTGATATATGAGACAGTAAGACTGTGTTTGAAAAGAATTTCTTGTCACACTGATCGCACTCGTACCTTCGCTCCCTGTTTTCCTCGTGGGTTTCCAAATGAGCCTGGAAACATAACGCAGTAAAGAAATATAACAATACGATATTTTTTTTTATAGAATAAGGGAGACAAACGAGCCCACAGTCACCTAATGATAAGTTATGTTGTGGTCCATAGACATCTACATTTATTCCCGATTAAGAATCAAAATGCAGATGCGTTGTCACACCTGAAGACTAAGATGGAATGCCTCTATTCCAGTAAAAAAAGAGCCCGGTTCTCTACACTGACCATACGAAACAGCAGCATTAAGCTGTTATTTTACGCTGGTATTCTGTAAATTGTATAGAATCAACTCAAAATTGTTATCTTATGTTGTTATCCGGGGGTACTGATGCAAATTCGTTTCATATTCATCTCGTATTAATTTTTTTTAGCCTATTAAAAATTCACTGCTGAAAATAGTCCTCCCCCATTTGCTTATTATTAGATATTAGCATATTGGCAGGCGGGTTGGCAACCGCAGCTTTTGTTACTTTGATTTGACAATGAGTCTCGCTCTCATAGACCCATTTTATATCCTGCCGATTTTAATAGAGAATAAACCAATGCTTATGCACGCACTGTGTGTACTATAATCCTCCCAGTGATCGAAACTCTGTATGAAGGACATTATTACTATTATAAACTCAGTAATAAGTCCAGTAGGACTATAAATCTAAGGTACTAAAAACTCGTTAGTAAAACAATACATACCTTTAGTACAGTGGTGGAGACAAACGTTTTCCCACAAATGTCGCAAACACATGGACTACGTTTCGCGTGCGATTTCTCGTGCATGCGCAGAGTGTGCTTGTTTTTTGACGTCTTGCCACAAATGCGGCACTTTAGGCTGCCGAGGCTGACGCGAGTATGTTCGCTCTCGTTATGCCGCCACAGACCACTCCATGTCATGAAGGTCTTATCGCATGGTGCACAATAAATTGGTGCCTGGAATTGTGGATTTTTTATTTATAATTGCCATATGTACTTGCCGTGGTCAGTGTAAAAGAAATCCATTTCATATAAATTACAAAGTACATTCTTGTCGGATGGTTTTCATTATGACACGACTGAGCGCAAATTATGCACTGCATTAATTTATTCGTACCCCGAGTTGTTTGATCACTATAAAATTCAAAGCTGGAATCCCCCCTTCTTAACTGTGTGGACATTGGTCCCTTATATAAAAACTAGCTATTACCTGAGACTTAGTCTATGTAGAACTTAACCAAAAAAACCTTCCATAACTACTATTGTGGTCTTTTAAAAAAATATGTCATCACCTTATCCTTTACCACTCATAAGCTTTGTTCGATATCACAAGAAAATCTTACATGTTTTTGGGATTAAATATAGCCTATATCACTCTTGGTAATGCTCTCTTTTACCTCTTCCTCTTTGTAAAATTTCATCACAATCGGTTCAACCATACCGAAAATTAGCCTAGGCAGACAGACAGACATAAATTTTTAAAATGGTTATTCGTATTTTAACAATATGTAAAGCTTTTATATGTATAAATGAGTTAAATTAGTAAAATCAACTCCAGTAACTTACTTCCTTACCCTCATGCTCCAATTTGTGTGCTTCGAACCGTTCGCGGAAGCTAAAATTTTTCTTGCACAACTGACATGAAAATATTTTTGGTTTCTTTGATGTGGATAAATTTATTTTTGACACTGACTTAACAACCAGTAGGTTGGGCGTGGCTAACTTTTTTAATCTGAAAAACGTTAAAGTGATTTTTTAAATGTTAACTGAGGACGACTCATTGACGATAAACTCGCTGGTCTCACAAACTAATGTTTTACAGAGGTTGTAGATACAGGTGACGTAAAATAGTGATTTTTTTAGCATTGGCATTTTGTAATGGGCTATAATGATTACCCTGATACAACATGATAAATTGCATAACATGCTTTTAAAAAGCTTGGATGCTGACAAATTAAATTTTACAGATTTCAGGTTAAACATGTATATAACATGCATAGCCTGTTCACTTTAGCATGAGATTTTGAGTAAACATAAAAAAACAGTTTTTCTCAAACATTCTCGACATCACTCGTACTTGCGCTAAGATCTTGTATATTTAAATTTTTTTTTAATTAATCACGATAATGTAAATTAAACAAAAGTTACAAAAAAATATTTTTTATTCATTCAGCCTTGTGAATCTTCTCAGGAACAGTAATTAAAATTATTTAACAATGCATGTATTGGACCTTTCTAGACATTTTTTTGTTCTTTCATCTGTCTTTTATTGGTTTAATTTCAAATGAGTCTAAGTTGGAGTAAACACAAAATTTTAGTGATTTTTAGTATACAGAATTATTTAATGGTTTAACAAACATAATATATTGTTTCGTACAAAACAAATAAACTAGGCTAATTTGTGTACGTTCCAGTATTTTTTGCACCTCTACACATTAAATATTTTTTATTTGCACATATATTTCCATTATCACTAAACTGCACCTATAAAGAGCCCATTTAATGGTTCGTATGTTACAGGCGTCAAAGGCGCCGCCGCGACATCAAAGGTCACCTCGTGCGGCGTACACTCGCAGGAGAATTTGGAATGTTAAAAGCGAAGCGCCGTAATGAAAGGTTCTTTGCTACCTAACTTATCTTTATTTTTTATATTCGTATTTTATTACAATACCCATAAGAATAAATAGTATGTATTATATTTTATTCTTAGAATAAAAAAAAAACATTTATTTAACATACAGTAAAAATTATAAAATAAAAGCAAAATAATAAGTACGCCTCCGGGTGTACCGACACTATCTTAGCGAACAGACTATACTATTAACTCAATCAGCAATAAAGGTTTTTTTGTATTATAATAATCATGGACTCACTCCCTCAAATTATGTTGTATTGTTGCTTGACATTAGTATTATTTAAGTTGAATTAATACATGATCATGATGAGAATTGCCAGCCAAAATTGGTAAAAACAAAAAAAAATCTGCCGAATTGTAAGTGACAACAGTCTTATTTATGTATATCTTATTTTGGATTGGAAAGATCAAGAAGTATATATGAGTGTGATACCTAAATAAAATTAAAGTGCCTGTCCGTAATATCGAAACAACTTAGGTTTAAGGGTTACTTGCTTGACGATGAATAACCATTCTTAAATTTTTTCTGTCTGTCCGAGCTAACCTTCGAAATGACTTAAGGCGCAAATAAAGAGTGATGCCTGGAATGATCTAGGCTATATTTTACCAGAAAATTTTGCGAGAACTTTTTTTAAAAAAAAAACAACGCAAAATTTATTAAATAAATTGTCTGACTTAAATCAGGAGAAGCCAGGGATGGGTCGCTAGTATAAAATAAAATCGATTAACAAAGTATTTTATACTAACCTTTTTGATATTTTTTTCTTTGTTGAGTTATCACAAGATAATTCATCCTTTATTTGTAATTCATTAGTATTACCGATTTCCTTTTTATCACTGGCAAATTCATCTGTAACAAGAAAACTATTATCATCATAACAATTCAACATATCGACAGTTGACAGTTTATTATGTCTACAGGTTGATTTTTAACAATGATTACAGACAAATTCTGAATAATGCATAACTATCAACTAACTGCCATGTACCACAACATGATGATACATATGTAATAAGATTGGAAATGGTAAACATGGTGACAATCTCTGTCTGCGATTCATACTCAGGACCTGCAGCATAGTAACCCAGCATTATGACCAAATAGGTTATCAACCATAAATATTAAATAATTGGAAAATATTTAAATAAAGATAAAAATGTTACTGAATGCTTTGCTAGTTTTTGATGATACTACGTGATAAGACATGATACATGGGGACACTTTCTGACTGGGATTCATACAAAGGACCTGCAGTCAGCATTCAGAATATAGGTTCTCAGCCATAATTATTTCATACGTAGGTCACTCAATAAGTTTGAGATATACAAAAAGTATTCTATATACTATTAATATTTATTTTACATCTTTTCAAAACATTCTCCATCATGCTCTATACAAAGTTCCATTCGCCTAAACCAACTCTGAAAACACTTTTGCCAGTCTTGATCTGACAGGTCGGAAATCGCTTCTTCGTAGGCAGCCACGGCTTCTTCGGCGCTTGAAAAAAACTTGCCTTTTATTTCTTCTTTGACTCTTGGGAACAAAAAGAAATCACAAGAAGCTAAGTCAGGGCTGTAGGATGGGTGACTTAGAGTTTCAACACCAGATTCCTCAATAATGATGCTTTTGTTCTTGTACGTGAAGAGGCGTTATCGTGATGCAGCATGATTCCCCGAAGCCCGGTCTTTTTGGTCTTCTCTCCCGCATAGCTTGAAATGCTACAATTTTCCAGCATTGACGTCGACAAATGTCCGCTCCGCGAAAAAAAAAAACTAGCCACCCTTTTTTTTGTCGACGTTGCGAGGTCTTTGCAGTTTTGTCGGTAACTGTCCTTCTGAGTAGACCCATACCGATGATTGGCTTTTATTTTCCGGTTCATATTTATAGAGCCATGTCTCTTCACCAGTAACGATTTCTGAAACACGCCTAGATGCCCCGTTTTCAAAACGGAGACGCATTTCATGGCACCAATCCACACGAGTCTGTTTTTCACTTTCGGAGAGCAAACGAGGGATCCATCGACAACAAAGCTTCCTCACTCCAAAATGTTGATGTAGGATGGTAAGACTGCTCCTCAAACTAATGCTTACAAGCTTTTCGATGTCCGTATATGTGATTCGTGGGTCTTCTCGCACCAACATTTCAGTAGCCCATACATTTTCTGCCGTTGCTGCTGTTTGCGGGGCCCCGGTTCTTTGGTCACCTTTAGGATTAATTTTACCCGTTTTGAATTCAGCAAACCACCTAAAATTGTTGCGCGTGATGGAGCTGAGTCCCCTAACGCTGACTGTAACCATTGTAAACTTAATTGTTCGGTTAAACCAAATTTAAAATCATAATATTATATCATAGCGCGCGAATGTTCACGGTTAAGATCCATCGTTTTAAATGAAAAGCGCAGGAAGCGATGCAGGAAAATTAATAGAACTTTGTTTTTTTTTTTAATATTGAGCAATTGGCTTATGGAGTTCTATTTTTAAATAAATTTGCCTTTCAGAAATAGTTATTGGTACAAATAAAACGTTCACCTATATTTCACGCGGACGTAATCAAATCTTTCTTTAAGAAAGAGAGACGATTCGATTTATATTGTAAATAATTTGTTTTTTTTTTTTAAATTTGTACATTGTTTGTACTTTGTTTTGTTCACGCTTCTCTTTTGTTCATGTATTGTACTGTATGTAAATATCTTTTTCTTTCGCTCAAGCAAACCCAAACGCCTTTTTTCAAAATCACCGACGGTATGCATATAGTCATACAATCTATCTAGCAGTAGTATGCTTTCTGTGTACTTTATTAAACACGTCCTCGACATCACTGAATATGAAACTGAAGAGTGGAGACAGATCAAGATTGGTGTATTTTTATAAAACTGCTAGTGGACCAGATGGTATACTAGATGGCTGTGGGCTGTGGGAAGTGCAGTACCCTTCGCCCTTGACAAAAACACTCTAGGAGTAGTGCAGACAAGACTACATGGAGTCGGGACGTGCTGATTCGGTTTTAGGATAGATTCGACCTATCTATAAAGTCAGGTAGCCCTAAACTCTGCTATGATAGTAGTAAATGAGCAATGTAATGTGAATTGTTATAATTATGCATTATGAAAAATCTCTTCACTACTCTCCACTGCGACTAAATTTATTGTGTATGGGTCCCATCTTCAGCCACAAATGGATTGTCTGGATACTAGTAATTAACTTTTTTCTGGGTGACCCATGTTAAAAAAAAACAAATTTATATATTTGCATTTCGTTATATACAATTTTTAGTGAAGTTTATTTTTATCATAATTAATTGAAAAGTCAAAATGCATTTCCGAAATCCAAAAACAGTGTAAAAGGTTCAAGATTAACCTTAACACACCTCCTAAACTGAAAACACAATTAAAATGAAGTACCGGACGTCTACTTCATAATACTAAACCAAATTGACATATTCACGTTACATTATACGCAATTTTTAGTCAAATTTCTTTAGTTAATTCAAAACGCATTTTCGACATCCAAAAACAGGGCTAAAGCTTCAAGCTTAAGGTGGAAGCTCCAGGACGGCCCGCGAAATTCAAATTTTCTTGCGTTTTTTGGAATTTGCAGGTCAGGGTCAGGTTGTATGTTTAACAAAATATGATTCGCGACCGTAACGAGTATGTATTTACAGAGTTATAATCATTATCACTCGAGCGCCCAAACTTCAAACGTCATAACGCCAAGGCCAAATTGAGCGTATAAACCATGGAGGTTAAGAGAGTCTCTCTAACCTCCATGGTATGAACGTAAGTTGGCAGTCAGCGCTTAAGACGACACATCGAAAACCGTTTAAGCGGGCTATCGCCGGACTGATCCGATTTAGTACATAATTTCTATAAAAACGCCGTCATAAGGTCTAAAATTGCGTAGCGCCCATGACGATTAAGACTGCTTAAAAATCCCTTAGAATCTTAAAATATTATTGAATTAAGTAATCAAAATAATGAGCAAGCAAATTACGAATATTGATGTTATGAATTTACTTGAGTGATTCCCAAACATATAGATTAAGTAATTTCGTTGTAATTTCAACTATAGTGATTTTTTAGAGGTGTTTTCGCAAATAATTATGATCAAGTCAAAATTATACAATCGTGTTTTTGAACAAGCAAATTCAAGATAAAGACATGAATTTACCTATATCAAAACTCCAGTTTTGTTAGTCGTGTCATAATCCTATACTTTTCGATGAAAGGAGATGCATTTTCTCGCGGTGTCGCCTTAAATGCTGATTTCGACGTAAATTCATTTATGAACACTATTCAATATTCATATATTCTGAATCTAGATGAAATTTTCTTTATTATGTATATAAAATTAACTAATTCTGATAGCAAGTGGAAATATTTCAAACGGTCTGATAACACAAATGTGTAAATGTATACACGTAACTGTAGAAAAATGCATTTAAATCAATATGAATCATTAATAGCATAAAAGGTCTTATAATATTATTTAATATTTTATTAATATAAGTAGTTAAAATCATCCTCTTCTCATAAAATTTGTTAAAGAAATAGATGTGAAAGCGAAGTTGTGAAAGCAAAATAATATCTTTGCAACAAATATGAGTTCAAAGCCCTTTTTGGCCTTAATTATCCACTTAAAATATTTTTGTGGTTCCCTATTATGTTTAACTTGTTAACGAGTTTCCTTTATAATACATCGTGTGTTTCAAGAAGTCAGATCTTCTAGAATCTTACGAAACAAAAAAAAATCCACAAAAATACCACTGCTAAAGATAAGGCTGTAAAAAATAAACTGTTTGATAATTTTATAAATAAGTTGTTTCCTCAAAACTTATACTGAATATGGAACGAATAAACATAAACACATATTTCTAATGATTTGCTAGAGATATTAAAATCAATTGAAAACTTTGACAAAATTTCGAACCAAACTGAGAATTAAGGACAAAAAGTGTATAGAGTCGTCTTTCGTCGAATATTTTATATTTATTTCCAAAGATATACATATATTAAGTATATTAAATTCATCGGTGTTTTTATTTTTTACATTTATATGTTTAGTTTATTTTGTTAATAACAGAAAATATTTTTTTAAATGGTTTTTGTGGGTACATGTAGAAAATTAAACAATGGCAGTTGGATTAATTGTATAATAATAATAAAAACAAAAATTAGAAAAAATTATAAAACAAAATACAAAAAAACATACGGGTCGAATTGAGAACCGACTTTAGTCAGTGGAAAAGCTTAAAATTATTATTTAGTGGCGTGATGTTGCGCAAATCAAGTAAACGGGCGCAGAGTCACGTTGCAATCAGAGCAGTAAACGTGGGTGCGTTTACGGCATACAACGCAAACCCTGCGCAATTTCTCCCCGCCTCGGCCTGGAAGAGTCTGATATTATTTGGATAAGAGTAAAATATAATCTTCTGAGAAAGAAGTGGCGCTACCATGTGAGGTAATGGCGTCAATTGGAGGTTGCACTTTCTTTTTTAACAAATTCTTAATGAGGTCCAATCTAAAACCTCTATGTGTGGTGAATCTTGGAACTGGGTGTTCTGGCACTGGGGACTCAGAGTGCAAGATGAAACTGTTCAAGACACTAACATTAAGTAGGCGCTTAAACAGTTTCTTGTACTACACGCGAGTCCTTTTCTGTGCCACAGGGAACATCGCCAGTTTTTGATTCTTACGGTCAACACCTCCCACACAAATTATGGTCCGAAACGACTATCGCTTTGATTGTGTCATTTATACGTTGTATTGCGTTGCCGTCATATGTGGATAAAGTTGTTATTTTGATCTCGCCAGACCAAAATATCCACATCTCCACTGTTACTTTTTTTTAAAGATGCCAGCTGTGGAGGTACGAACTGTTGAGTTTTAACGTACGTGCGAGGGTGGGGCTGTTATAATAATTATCTTTTTTTCATTCATTCATTACAGCCCTTCACAAGTCCACTGCTGAACATAGGCCTCCCCCAAAGAATGCCACAAAGCACGGTCCTGAGCCACCTGCATCCATCGACTTCCTGCATATCTTACCAGGTCGTCACTCCATCTAGTGGGGGGACGCCCTACACTTCGCCTGCCGGTACGAGGCTGCCACTCGAGAACCTTTCTTCCCCATCGGTTGTCGGTTCTTCGAGCTATATGGCCGGCCCATTGCCACTTCAGCTTACTAATCCGTTGGGCTATGTCGGTCACTCTAGTTCTACTGCGGATATCCTCATTTCTGAGTTTATCACGCAGAGAAACTCCGAGCATAGCCCTCTCCATAGCTCGCTGAGCGACCTTGAGCTTCCTCATCCGGCCAGCAGTGAAGGACCACGTCTCAGTTCCGTATGTCATCACTGGCAACACGCACTGGGTGTACAGTCTCGTTTTCAAGTTTTGAGGTATACCTGACGAGAAGATGTGCCGTAATTTCCCGTATGCTGCCCAACCGAGTTGAATCCGTCGATTGACCTCTCGGTCGAAGTTGGACTTACCTAGTCGGACTATTTGTCCCAGGTAAACATACTCGTCAACAACTTCGAGCTTAGTGTTCCCAACAACTACCGGCATAGGTGTGACATGGACATTAAACATGATCTTTGTTTTGTCCATGTTCATCTTAAGACCTATCCGTTGGGAAACACTATTGAGGTCATTGAGCATAGTGCTTAGGTCCTCCAGGGATTCTGCCATAAGGACTATATCGTCGGCAAATCGAAGGTGAGTGATGTACTCGCCATTGATGTTGATACCGTATCCTTTCCAGTCCAGAAGCTTGAAAACATCTTCCAATGCAGCGGTAAAGAGTTTCGGGGATATGACGTCACCCTGTCTTACACCTCTCTGCAATTGGATAGGTTTCGTACTCTGGTTCTGTACTCGGATAGCCATCGTAGCCCTACTGTACAAGCACTTAAACACTTCGATATACCGACAGTCAACTTGGCATCGCTGAAGGGACTGCAGCACCGCCCAAATTTCGACGGAATCAAAGGCTTTCTCATAGTCCACATACGCCAGACATAGTGGCAAATTGTACTCCTCGGACTTCTGTACAATTTGCCGAAGGGTATGTATGTGGTCTATGGTGCTAAAGCCTTTTCGGAAACCGGCTTGTTCGGGAGGCTGGAAGTCGTCAAGTCTGCGCGCGAGACGATTCGTAATGACTCTCGAAAACAGCACGTAGACGCGGCTCAGAAGGGAAATCGGTCTGTAGTTCTTCAAGAGAGCGTTGTCGCCTTTCTTGAAGAACAAGACCACCGCACTTCTGCTCCACGCCTCCGGTGTAATGCCACCATGGAGGACGGAATTAAAGAGTTTCTGAAGGACTTCAAGTACCGGTTTTCCACCCGCTTTCAGAAGCTCCGCTGTAATTCCATCCTCGCCTGGGGCCTTGCCGTTTTTAAGGTGCTGGAGAGCCATTCTAATCTCGCTCAGACTGACGTCCGGGATATCATCGGAATAATGTCGGATAAGACTCGCTCTTGGATCGTTACTCACACTTGCGTGCGGCTCCAACGATGACGTGTACAGCTGCCCATAGAACCTCTCAATCTCACTCAAAATCTCAGGTGCCCCGGAAACGATGCTGCCACACTCTGTCTTCAGCTTTGACAGTTGGCGCTTTCTGGCAGACAGATCTCTGGCAAAGACTTTGGAGCCTTGGTTCCGCTCGATCGCTTCTTCAATACGAGCTGTATTGAATTTGCGTAAGTCCCGCCGCATGCATTTGGAGATCTGTCTCTTCAGTTGCCTGTATGCTGTTAAATCTGTTGAAGAATGTAGCTTCATCTCCCGTCTAACAACCATGAGATTAAGAGTGTGATCGGAGAGTTTTTGTGTTCTTCTGCGGCGGGTCTTGCAGAACTTAGCTCCGACCGCATGGACAGTTTCCACGAGCTTGTCATTCAAATCGTCCATTTCATTGCAGTCTTCTAGGCACTGAAAACGGTTTTGTAACTCGAGCTGAAAGGTTTCGGGACTTTGGATTAGAGCACGAGGGGGACGGAGCGTTGACTTCATTAGACGAGACCTCTCCAACTTAACGTTTAGGTTCAGTGTGCCTCTAACCATTCGGTGATCGCTACCGGTTTTCACCCTGGCGATCACTGAGACATCACTGAACAGTTGTCGTCTGGTCGTCATAATGAAGTCAATCTCATTTTTTGTCGAACCGTCGGGGCTCGACCAGGTCCACTTCCTGTGGGGCCGCTTCTGGAAGAAAGAGTTCATCATAAAGAGTCCCTCTTTCTCCATGAAGTCAGCCAACTGCTGGCCCCTTGGGTTCCGTTGCCCTATTCCAAATTTCCCTACTTTCAGCTCACCGTTCTCTCTTGTGCCTAGTTTTGCATTGAAGTCTCCCATTAACACCGTATATTGGGTTTTGGAGGAATGTATGGCTCTAGAGATATCCTCATACATTTCCTCCACCTCCTGATCGGGGTGTGCCGAGGTTGGTGCGTAAACCTGTATGACCTTCAGCGAATACCGTTTGGTGATTCTGAGTATAAGGTACGCAACCCTCGTCGACACACTCTCAATCTTTACAACGTTGTTAACGAGAGACTTGTGGACGATAAATCCGACACCTCCTTGGGACAGATGGTCGCCCTCCCGGTGATAGAGCAAGTTGCCGGATTCGAGGATTACCGTGTCCTCCCCCTCTCTTCGGACTTCGGATAATCCTATAATATGCCAGCGTAACTTGTCTATCTCTTCTTCCAGCTCCACAATCTTCTCGTCAGTCCTCAGGTTGCGTGCGTTGTATGTTGCCAGGTCGAGTCGTCGTAGGTGGCAACCGAACCTCCACCGGAGATTCTTAGCACCCCCTGCCCCGCCGTTACCATGGTCGCCACCGTAGCCAGGAATAGCGGGGCCGCCGGGGACTGGGGGCCGTTTATTATTGTCATTGCTCATGGGGGGTATATTGCCATAGTTGCCACGCTTGGCGAGCGGGTTGGCAACCGCAGTTTTTTTTTTATTGTTATTTGGCTATTATCAGGAAGATGCTGCTGCCCATCTCCTGCCTGTTTCCCTTTGTCGCCTTTTACGACACCCACGGGAAGATATGGGGTAGTGGATATTCTTAACCGCCACTACACGGCATAATTATCTTCTTTTTATCTTAATAATTATCTATCCACACACAAAGGCCTCTATTCTCGAGATCTTGCAACAGATGGAGGACCAAACTGGGAATGATCCCAGATATGGGAGTAGGCAATTCGGTGGTACTATATTTGTTGCCTGAGTTGATTACAAGCCGCCAAAGATATCCAGACTTAGCGTCGCAAACCTCATAGGTTTTGACACCAATTGACGCAGCTTTGTTTTTTATAAATTGATTAAATGCTAACCACCCCTTCCGTTGCGTCAGCGATTCATCTATACAAATATTTTGTTTCAATTTGTATCATAACTGAAACTTCTGGTTGAGGTGGTCAGCTATAGGCTTTATTTTATAAATTTTAGCCTTCGAAGGACTGAAAGCCAAGATATTATCACAATTTTTCGCAAATTGTATAAATTTATTCAACAGAATAAATCTGTTGTAAGATATATATTTTGCGAAATTCGGTGTATCACAGATGAACCCGTCGCAATGCCAGTACTCCTTAATATTGGACTTTAAACAGAGCCCATTGCCAAAAGTATCCCAAAATAAACATATAGTCCGTCAACGTTTGTAGGAGTCCAGCAGTGCAGTCGCAATTGGGGTCCAAGAATATGTTTTCTTTTAGAAATCTCTTCTTCGGCATACCTATCTGTTTCTGTAACAATATGAGCCATGATTGCGCTGTCTCATATGGACAAAAATATGGCTTCTGGACTCTGTACGGATTGTCCTGACAAGTTTAGAACAGGACCTTCTGCTTCCCTAAAAATTTCACGCCTGTCCCGTGGAGGGATCGGTGTTTCTGGAAAAGCCTTCCAATCAAAGAAGAATCGCTCGGGCCCGGACGGCGTGCTGTCGTCATTTGCTGTCGGCATTTCAGAAGATATCACTGCCTCGTCCTCAGCGTTGTCATTCATAAAAAACATAGGCTCGGTCCTTGGCACGAAAATGGGGAATGCTTCGCCTTCACACTCGCTTTCTTCTTCGCTACGTAAAGATAAATCAGTTTATTTCAACATCGTCAATATTTAAAAAAAAGTTACCAAAATTCAGAATATCTTCAATTTCAATATCTTAAAATACGACGCTTTTTTGGTGGAATGGTCTCTAATTGAATAGTGCAAGGCGTGCTGGATCTGCTTCCACCACATTCTATGAATCTAAAAGAAAATACATGTAAGTATGTTAAATGGTAAAAAAGGAATATGTGTTCATGATCACATGCTGCACTAGAGATAATTACTGCGCAGGTGAAGGCACCGCCATTTCAAAATTTGGTCTTGTGCAGGGCGAGCTGGATCTGCTTCCACCACATTCAATGAATCTAAAAAGAAAATACATGTATGTTAAATAGTAGAACGGGAATATATGTTCATGATCACATGCTGCAATAGAGATACTTACTGCGCAAGTGAAGGTACCACCATCTCAAAATTGTATCTTGTACTTGGTGACCTATATAGGAAATAAATACAAGAAAGAAAAACAATCAAACGATATTTGCTTTAACTGTTTTAGGTTACGAGGAGTAACGAAAAACAATCCGCCTCGTGCTTGCCCAACCCCGTAAGTAGGAGCCCAGTACTTCGTCCACCCCTCGTACATACACGGCCGGTATGTTGCCCGCCTCTCGTGATGAATGGCACTATGACAAAAATAAAACAATATTTTCATGCTTAGCAGCACTGCAATGTTATTATAATTGAGAATAAGAAAACAGTTAGAAACTGAAACAAAATTAAAGCAACTCATCTGAGCTAATGTTTGTGTTATCAAGGGACAAGTTTCATCTTTTTCGGAGTCTGTGACATTAATTCTAAATTTAAGGCTGTTGACAAACGGCTTGGACTGCTGTCTAAAGAAGAAGGCGAATTAGGTACTGTGTCAGCACTGGCAGCATCTGGCGTACCTATGTTAAAAATATCCTTATCTTCGTCTGATCGTATCTGAACATGCTCTATAACAAAATAAGTGTATTGATACCCATTCTTCATCGAAAATAATAATTATAGGAAATTGTACACTTACCAACTTCGATATCAGCAGCTGGTGCCAATTATATATCGGCTATAACAAAAATAATAATATAGGTACCAAATATTATATTTACATAGATCCTGTAATTTGTTTGAGAGTGTATTTAAAAATACTTACCAACTTCCCTCTCTTCTCTTAGATCTCTGTGTGGCGGCACCAATTGAATATCCTCTGAAACAAGTGGCATTTTTTTCATGTTCAAACTGTAACTAAATAGTTATCCTGTTATACGAAAATAAGCATACTTATCATTCCATAACAAAAATACTTATAACCTAAAACCACTATGCTACTTATACGAGCTTGTCGACTAATTCAGCCTCCACGGTCTGTGCAACCTCCACGGTTTGTGGGGGCTCCATGATTTGTGCGACCTCCATGGTTTGTGCAACCTCCACGGTTTGTGCGACCGCCACGGCCTCTAAAATCTGTGCGACCTTTACGCCCTGTGCTCGATTCACCCAAAAAATTTATAGACATGAAATGTGTGTAAAAGTATTTATAGGGTCAAATTTATATGTATAATACTCAACCATGGTAACGGCGGGGCAGGGGGTGCTAAGAATCTCCGGTGGAGGTTCGGTTGCCACCTTAGACGACTCGACCTGGCAACGTACAACGCACGCACCCTGAGGACTGACGAGAAGATCGTGGAGCTGGAAGAAGAGATAGACAAGTTGCGCTGGCATATTATAGGATTATCCGAAGTCCGAAGAGAGGGGGAGGACACGGTAATCCTCGAATCCGGCAACTTGCTCTATCACCGGGAGGGCGACCATCTGTCCCAAGGAGGTGTCGGATTTATCGTCCACAAGTCTCTCGTTAACAACGTTGTAAAAATCGGGAATGTGTCGACGAGGGTTGCGTACCTTATACTCAGAATCACCAAACGGTATTCGCTGAAGGTCATACAGGTTTACGCACCAACCTCGGCACACCCCGATGAGGAGGTGGAGGAAATGTATGAGGATATCTCTAGAGCCATGCATTCCTCCAAAACCCAATATACGGTGTTAATGGGAGACTTCAATGCAAAACTAGGCACAAGAGAGAACGGTGAGCTGAAAGTAGGGAAATTTGGAATAGGGCAACGGAACCCAAGGGGCCAGCAGCTGGCCGACTTCATGGAGAAAGAGGGACTCTTTATGATGAACTCTTTCTTCCAGAAGCGGCCCCACAGGAAGTGGACCTGGTCGAGCCCCGACGGTTCCACAAAAAATGAGATTGACTTCATTATGACGACCAGACGACAACTGTTCAGTGATGTCTCCGTGATCGCGAGGGTGAAAACTGGTAGCGATCACCGAGTGGTTAGAGGCACACTGAACCTAAACGTTAAGTTGGAGAGGTCTCGTCTAATGAAGTCAACGCTCCGTCCCCCTCGTGCTCTGTTCCAAAGTCCCGAAACCTTTCAGCTCGAGTTACAAAACCGTTTTCAGTGCCTGGAAGACTGCAATGAAGTGGACGATATGAATGACAAGCTCGTGGAAACTGTCCATGCGGTTGGAGCTAAGTTCTGCAAGACCCGCCGCAGAAGAACACAAAAACTCTCCGATCACACTCTTAATCTCATGGCTGTTAGACGGGAGATGAAGCTACATTCTTCAACAGACTTGACAGCATACAGGCATCTGAACAGACAGATCTCCAAATGCACGCGGCGGGACTTACGCAACTTCAATACAGCTCGTATTGAAGAAGCGATCGAGCGGAACCAAGGCTCCAAAGTCTTTGCCAGAGATCTGTCTGCCAGAAAGAGCCAACTGTCAAAGCTGAAGACAGAGTGTGGCAGCATCGTTTCCGGGACACCTGAGATTTTGAGTGAGATTGAGAGGTTCTATGGGCAGCTGTACACATCATCGTTGGAGCCACACGCAAGTGTGAGTAACGATCCAAGAGCGAGTCTCATCCGACACTATTCCGAAGATATCCCGGATGTCAGTCTGAGCGAGATTAGGATGGCTCTCCAGCACCTTAAAAACGGTAAGGCCCCAGGCGAGGATGGAATTACAGCGGAGCTTCTGAAAGCGGGTGGAAGACCGGTACTTGAAGTCCTTCAGAAGCTCTTTAATTCCGTCCTCCATGGTGGCATTACACCGGAGGCGTGGAGCAGAAGTGCGGTGGTCTTGTTCTTCAAGAAAGGTGACAACGCTCTCTTGAAGAACTACAGACCGATTTCCCTTCTGAGCCGCGTCTACGTGCTGTTTTCGAGAGTCATTACGAATCGTCTCGCGCGCAGACTTGACGACTTCCAGCCTCCCGAACAAGCCGGTTTCCGAAAGGGCTTTAGCACCATAGACCACATACATACCCTTCGGCAAGTTGTACAGAAGTCCGAAGAGTACAATTTGCCACTATGTCTGGCGTATGTGGACTATGAGAAAGCCTTTGATTCCGTCGAAATTTGGGCGGTGCTGCAGTCCCTTCAGCGGTGCCAAGTTGACTGTCGGTATATCGAAGTGTTGAAGTGCTTGTACAGTAGGGCTACGATGGCTATCCGAGTACAGAACCAGAGTACGAAACCTATCCAATTGCAGAGAGGTGTAAGACAGGGTGACGTCATATCCCCGAAACTCTTCACCGCTGCATTGGAAGACGTTTTCAAGCTTCTGGACTGGAAAGGATACGGTATCAACATCAATGGCGAGTACATCACTCACCTTCGATTTGCCGACGATATAGTCCTTATGGCAGAATCGCTGGAGGACCTAAGCACTATGCTCAATGACCTCAATAGTGTTTCCCAACGGATAGGTCTTAAGATGAACATGGACAAAACTAAGATCATGTTTAATGTCCATGTCACACCTATGCCGGTAGTTGTTGGGAACACTAAGCTCGAAGTTGTTGACGAGTATGTTTACCTGGGACAAATAGTCCGACTGGGTAAGTCCAACTTCGACCGAGAGGTCAATCGACGGATTCAACTCGGCTGGGCAGCGTTCGGGAAGCTACGACACATCTTCTCGTCAGACATACCTCAAAACCTTAAAACGAAATTGTACAACCAGTGCGTGCTGCCAGTGATGACTTACGGAACTGAGACGTGGTCCTTCACTGCTGGCCGTATGAGGAAGCTCAAGGTCGCTCAGCGAGCTATGGAGAGGGCTATGCTCGGAGTTTCTCTGCGTGATAAACTTAGGAATGAGGATATCCGCAGTAGAACCAGAGTGACCGACATAGCCCAACGGATTAGTAAGCTGAAGTGGCAGTGGGCCGGCCATATAGCTCGAAGAACCGACAACCGATGGGGAAGAAAGGTTCTCGAGTGGCAGCCTCGTACCGGTAGGTGCAGTGTAGGGCGTCCCCCCACGAGATGGAGTGACGACCTGGTAAGACATGCAGGAAGTCGATGGATGCAGGTGGCTCAGGACCGTGTTTTGTGGCATTCTTTGGGGGAGGCCTATGTTCAGCAGTGGACTTGTGAAGGGCTGTAATGATGAATGATGATGAATACTCAATACAGTTGTTATATATTGATGCAGTGCGATTATTTTTGTGTGCAAAACATAAATCCATTCACAACCAAAACAATAATGCAATCCACCAAAAAAACAACTTGAGTGCGTGTGGAATGTATAGGCGTGCGTAAATATGAAACCTGTGTACCTTTTTTAAAACCCTTACTTCTGCATTGCTAAATTCCTGCGTAACATGTTAAAATTACAATTACAAATATATTTACTCTATAAACGCAAGTACAACTTGTTAAAATATCAGTGTGAAATACTTACGACATATTGAAATACTGTCACACTATATGTCTTATCCTGCTTTATAGCTAAATCTGAGAATAATTTCAAAAATTAAGTAGTTAATTGTTAAGTAAAAATAAACTAATATTGATACATAAAATAGGTATTCTTACAGTAGGTATGTACTCGCAAAAAATGCCTATTACAACTAATTTGTAACCATACCTAAATTAATAAACACACAATTAGCTTTATGACAAATTCAGTTGCAATATATATTTTTTGTAATTTAAATATTAACTTATTAGACTAAAAATATTTTTAAGTGTCTGCCTGACTTCTATGTTCATTTGTAAATTTATATTTCACCGCCATGATGAATTCAGAATTCAGGGAGTCCCACCACCGTATCACGGTTAAACTAAACATTGTCATATAATTTTGTTATTTAGATCTATTTACCTGCACTGCAGCACTGTCTATATCTTATAACAATAATTCATGATAGCTTCTCCCAGTAAAAGAAAAATTTTAGCAGAATTTTAATTTTTTTTAAATCTAGTACGATTTTTGTAATGGTTTTGTTTGGCTAGGCACATGGACTAATCTAAATATTGTAAAACTGGTTCATAGTAGCAAAACTATAATGAAAGTAATATTACCATAATATTATGAATAACATTAGCTACTTACCAAAAATTTTCTTCTCGCTATACTCAAATCACAACACAATAAATTCATGCCTCAAAGTTGACTAAACGTTCACAGGGATATTTTGTTTTTACAGGATAAGGGTGACAAACGAGCACACAGTCCACCTGATGGTAAGTGGTGGCTGTGGCCCATAGACATCTACATCTATCCTTGATTACAAATCAAAATGCAGATGCATTGTCAACCCTGAGGACTAAGATGGAATGCTTTATTTCCAGTAAAAAGGGTATCCGGTTCTCTACACTCACTATACGAAACACAGCAGTATTAAGCTGCTATTTTACGCTGATATGACCAGGGTTGGCTGATTTAAATCAGACTGATTTAAATCATGATTTAAATCACGATTTAAATCGCCTGATTTTGATTAAAAAAATCATTGATTTAAATCAACATGTATAAATTGAAATAAAACTGGCTTAAATAAAGTAAAATCTTTTGTTGTTTTATGTTATTCTTATTATTCTACTACAATAGTCTCATAAACTTTGGAAAATCAACAAAGACGTAGCGATGAGATCTGTCAGTTTTAAAATCAAATTTTTTATTTTTTAGAAATTCACTTTTAATATGGTATATGAACTGTAATTAATACAGTATGTATTAATTATTTTACTCTTAATCAGTTTCATACATAATCTATACAAATAAATAAAATTGAAGTGTCTGTTTGTAATGTCAAAATTACGGCTTTTTACTAAATGCATACGATACGTATAACAAAAATAAATTTTTTTAAATTTTTGTCTGTCTGTCTGTCTGTTTGTTCCGGCTAATCTTTGAAACGGCTGGACCGATTTTGACGGGACTTTCACTGGCAGATAGCTGATGTCATAAGGAGTAACCTTTTATTTTAGAAAAAGAATTAGGGTTCCGTGCAAAAAAACTAAAACCCCAAATAACACGCAGGTGAAGTCGCAAGGAACAGCTAGTGTATTCATAAACTTTTAATCCTACTATGTTAAAAAGTGTTACCAACTCGTGTATTTCCAAATATACAAAAAAATCAAAAAATTCAAAAAAAATCAAAAAAATCATGATTTTTTTAAAAAAATCAGCATGATTTGATTAAAATTAAAAAAATCATGATTTTTTCCATCCCTGGATATGACATCACCTACTGATAAGCTTAACAACTATGTGACCACAGTATAACAGTCGATGGGCGATTATCGGGGTTAAAACAGTCTACTGTAAAACAGTGGCCGGGCACTCAAGAGGTAAACCCTGACAAATCTCCTAAACGGAAAACATAATTAAAATTAAGTACCGGACATCTACTTCATAATACTAGACCAAGTTGACATATTTACATTTTACTATATGCAATTTTTTATGTAATATATTTTTATTGTAGTTAAGTCAAAATGCATTTTCGGCATATAAAAACAGTGTAAAAGGTTCTAGCTTAACCCTGACGAACCTTCTAAACTGAAAACGTAATTAAAATCAAGTACAGGGATGTCTATAACCAACCCAACAATTTATAATTGCATGGGTAATGGCTAGAAAATATATATATGTAAGTATATTATAATGCTTAAATTATTTTGTTTACAAAATTATGAATTTCAAGGTAAACAGTATAATACTTACAGTTGTTGCATGGTCCAACTTCAGCCTGTTCAGCTTTAACATTGCTCATTTCAAATTCATTGCCATACTCATCTTCACTAGCTACAATGTGTGAGTCTACTTCTACAGTTATGAAAACATTATTTTCTGTTTTTACTGATTTTTTACATTCTAATAATGTATTTTGGGATTTAATACAAGTTTGTTTGAAATCGAAAAGTTTTATAAGAAGTTCATAACAACTTTCACATACAGTTTTAGGCAAGTCTTCATTCTGTTGGACCTGTTAATTTATACACAATTAAAATTAAATAAAGTTTCAAAAATATTAAAATTTAATATTGCAAAAAATATATAAGTTTATACTTACTTCTACTGATGTGCAATACGAGTACATGTTTGGTGAAACATTGTCGAATAGAAAATACTTGAAAGATTCTTTCGCAGTTAAACAAGCACGGCATATTTTGTTAAAGTACGTCATTTCAATTTTTTTTCCAGTTGTCTTCTTTATGTTTGTGCTAAACCGAATCAGTTAAATCTCAAATATATGGATGATTTCTTGATCATTGTAGACTGTGTAAGGCAAGATTACAGATACAGCTTATTTTCTGAAATGTTTGGTTTGTAGTGATGCTGCCGCTGTTAGCCAGTACTTTTTTATTTTTAGGTAGCTTTTACAGCTGCAATGGATTGGATTTCTTCCAGCACTTCCAGTTATATGAAAGTAAAAAGTAAATAACCACTACGTCTTAGTACATGTTACGTAAATTAAAATAATCTGGGCATCAAACAAAACAAAGCAAGATTTTACTGCTTTGGTGCTTTCAATTTCACCACAAACGCGTAATTTCATAGATAAATAAATATGTAATTGTATGTAAAATGTAAATATTGGCAAAGAAAATATACACTACGCGAATAATGATATTGGTAAATATGTAAACATCACAAACTATATAGCCCCTTGTCTGTGCGTCGACCAGCAGTCGGCACGTCAAATTATTTGCGCGTCTGTGAGCCGACCAGCAGTCGGCATCGTTTCCTGTTTATGTTTTCGCGCTCTTTACGACGGAACTACGATGCGTTTTTTAGGTGCGACACTTGAAATCATAGACTAATAATATATACTCAGTGTCAAACTGCTTTACTGTTACTCTTTGCTCCGTAAAAAAAAAATATCGGCACTTCAAATTGGACGCTGTCAAACCAACCGACTCCGGTTTTGTCACGCCTTTGATAAGTTTTCTTGAATCAAATTTGTTGTGATTTGAAGGAGAAACCATGGAAAGGTAAGTACTTTCACATTTTTATTACTGGGAAACATATAATTTTGCTAATTTAATTGTAAAAACCAGGCCAAACCAACGACATAGCCGTCTAACGAACTATGAACGTACTTTTATTTCTGCAATATTTGGTCTAAAAAGTGAATGAAACCGTAATGTTTTGGAGAATTTAAGCTACTAATGTAATTAATTTGCAATGGATGACAATGGTAAACGTGTATTTAGCTTTGAAAACTTTAATTTTGGGTCTAAATACGTGAAGGTTATTTCTTTACCGTCAGTCGGCAGGGGCACAGACAGGGTTTTGGCAGTTGATGACGTCATAACGGCGGCATGTCGGGCATGCTAGAAATTATAGATACGCTTTTGTATTTTCTGTTTGAAGTTATTTTTAAATATTTTGCATGTAATGTTACATCACTTTTAATTGCATAAACATTTAGTTACTGTGGAGATATAGTGGAAGTTGCATACTTTTTTGTAGTATGTCATTTCTGTATGCTTTGTATGGTGTGCAATAAAGAATATTAAATAAATAAAATAAATAAATATAAAATATGGGAGCGAAAAAACTTAGCAGAATTTTTGTAATTTTTTATTTTTTATGTTTGCATCATGTAGAGGGCGCATATACTAACACTTTTTGTCGTAAAAAGTTTTGGGCTTGGATGAACCTGAGCAAAGATATTTAGGTATTTGAAGTACCAAGTAGGTACCAAGATAAAAATACAGCATTTTTGTTTCTTTTTTCTTTTTTCTTCGTTTGCGTCGTGTCGGGGGGGCACCCAAACAAACAATTTTTTCCTGAACAATTTTGGACTTAGACGAACCTGGGCCGAGATAAAGGCATTTGAAGAGCGTCCAAGCCCAAAATTGTTTGGGACAAAAAGTGTTTGTTGCACGATGATAAATTTAAAAATAAATAATTTTATTTTTAACTTTGACAACCAATTTTTTTTTCAAAAAATTTCTCCAAAAATAATATTTACATATTTTCTAGACGTCTTATAGTAAGTTAAAAAAGTTACGCATGGACATTACTAAATTAGCTCTAAGGGCACCTTTTGCATTCATGTCTCGCGTATCTCTTGCATTTTTGTGTTTATTTTCTCTTTGGTTTGCATTTTGCATTGTCTGACCATGTGGAAGGGTTGGTTAGATATTAACCAATTCATCCGCAACAAAGCAGCTACAGTAGGAATTAAAACATACGAGGTGTGTGAGTCCCAGACTGGTTACTTGTGACGCTTTGAAGTCCACGCAGGCCATGATACCTCCTCAGACCCACAAGAGGACAGTCCAGTTTCTGGGAAAGTGCCAGCTCTTGTGCTCAGACTTTTAAATGGTCTTGAGCATAAGGGCCACACGATTTGGATGGATAATTTCTACAATTCTCCCGCGCTTGCGCGAGAATTGAAAGTTCGGGGGTTTGACTGCGTGGGGACCTTACGAACGAATCGTCAGTTTGTTCCCATTGAGCTGACGAATCTTACGAAAAAAGACATGGCGATAGGTCAGGTGAACGGTTGCACTTCGGGGGATGTGGACCTCATCGTATACCGGGACAAAAACCGTGTGGCATTTGTCTCGACATACCATGGGCTAGCAACCGCGATGTGCGGCGATACACACAAGCCCACCGTCATACCAGACTATAATGTCTGTATGGGGGGGGGTTGATCGCAAAGACCAGATGCTCGCCATGTACCCCATTGAAAGAAGGCGGAACAAAATCTGGTACAAAAAGTTTTTCAGGAAGCTCTTGAATGCTAGTGTTCTAAATGCCTACATACTCCACAAGGCACACCGCTCAATTTCTCACCGAAATTTTCGCCAAACTTTGGTGACGGAATTGTTGGCAGCACACACACCACCAGCACCTACCCGTGCACTGCCGAACACCTGGCATTTTCCGGGGCAATACGATCTGCTCCCGGGAACAACACGGAACGAGCACCAGAGGCGTAGTTGTTCAGTTTGCAAAAAGCGAACATCAAGCTTTTGCAAAGCCTGCAACGTGCCCCTGTGTGTGTTTGGTTGCTTTGAGTCATATCACACTTCACAGTAAACTACACAAAAACACTGTCTTACACACAAGGTATTTAGGCACTAGTATTGAAGGTCTATCTGAAAAACACTTGTACTTGAGCACACAGTCCACCTGATGGTAAGTGGATACATCGTCACCCCTGAGGACTAAGATGGAATGCCTCCTTTTCAGTAAAAAGGGTATGCCGCTATTTTAATGGGAAGGTTAAAGTAGGTAGGTGTTACCATCCAAATCGTAATGGGAAATTTGGAAAACAAAAAGCTGCACATTTATATACTATAGTTTGTATATGTATGTATGTATGTGCGTATGTATGTATGTGCGTATGTATGTATGTAGTGCCTCAGATAGAGGGTTATGTTTTTGTGATAAATTTGTTTCTAACGAGTTATAATATGTATGTTTGTCTTTTGAAATTTTGGCTCATCATAAAATTGTTGGAACCTAGGTCCGTGTCATTCATTCAAATTGCAAACGTCATTATACTGATAAGGGATCGTACGAAAATTAGGGACGCAATGAAGGGGGGGGGGTTGCTCAACCTAATTTTCAGTACGTTTCCTTGGCATTTTGTAACATATGTATATATATGTCCATGATCGGTAGCCATGTACATATATATACATATATTATGTGTATATTGTACATATTTGTACATATCGAACAATGGTAAATTATGACCAACCATGCTTGGGTATCAACATGCTGCCTAAACCTTCACCTTCAACCTACAAGCCGCCGGTTCATTTTACCTCTTGCTGTGATTCGTGAACAAAGCATGATTTAAAAATTATGTCATATTAAGTAGTATCCCAAGTGATTGTCATTATTAGACCCGTTATGTTTACTATAATGTTTCAAAATAATGAGGGTTACAAAAATCACCTAGTCATTATCTTGTTGAAGACAAGTCGTATCCACACTTTGCTAGCATGTATGAGGCTAAAATGTTTAGATATTTACTACTTTCATGAGCTTGATGTTTGAAATATTTCTTAGAAACAACTTGTTTTTTTTTGTTTAATTGATTACTAAATTTAATGTATATCTTGAAACAATAATTTCTTTTCCATTTGTAAGTAGATATTATCCAAAATAGACATGTTTTTAGAGGTACTAATTTTGGTGTCAAATTACATACCATCTTTGTTCCACTCATACTCAAATTTATATTGAATGTAACATGATTCTTTTATTTATATTTGTAGCTTATAAGCTTAAGTTGCTGCAAACAAAAGGTCTTTGTCCCATTCGCTCAGGGTCATTTTAGATAACAAGAAATGTGAGACCCTTTTTTGTTTACTTTAAGTGGAAGTATTTTTTGTGTCAACTTTGTAAACATGTGTTGTGTGAAAAAAATGTATAGGACCTTGTTAATTTTGGTTTGTATTGTAAACTTAGATATGTAATGTGTTAATTAAAATTAGTTTCAGTTTAATTATTGTTTTATTTTATACAAATTATCAAGAAATACAATAAAATTTTCTGTACCCCATATTAAGTAGTAATGTTTCTATGGCAAATAACTACCAATATGCTAAATATGTAAAGATATATACAAAATAGGTAATTAAAACCAATATTTTAATTGTAAGCGTACAGCATTCCTTTAAAAAAATCGAGGAAATCCAACTTTAAAAAAAACATATGCTTATAATATCCCTGTCTGTGCGCTTGCCGACGGTCGGCATCACAGATACGCAAAATGGCGGAAACATTAGTCACACTGTTTAGAGGATAGAAAGTAAACATGGACCTAGAAAAAAAGACGACAGAGTCTCGCTCACAACCACAGATTACTGTATACCAGTCCAACTTTATAATTTGTGGTCTCGCTAAGAAACAATCGAAGCACTGCAGTAGCGGCCGCGTAACTATGTTTTTTTTTTGGAGTTTATGGCCTGGTATCTAGACCTTTAGGCCAAGTCTTAAGTATTTTTATTCGGTTTATTGTAATTTCCCCACTCCTTCATAGTATACTGCTTCACAATATGTTGATGCGTCACATTGTGCAGTTCTTGGGAGATTTTGGCGGCAACTTGATCCAGCAGACAGCTGATAGTTGGCGATGGTATCTAAAGGTGCCTATGCAAACAAACAGCTTATCTTGAGAATCCATCACCATCAGAGCACTTGTTTCACTGTTTCCACTAATAGTTCACATGCGTAGACACTTAATACACAAAATCGCAACACTTTTACATATCAAAGTCCACTTCAAACCATTATTTAAACAATAATACAGGAGCAGCAAACCGCCGCCGGTCAATTTCCCGCCAAAACTCTCCGTAACTATGTGTGAACGTGTAGAGGGTTGCCAGATGGAGGAAAATTACCCATTTATAAAATCAAAATAATTCATTTAAGTTTAAGACATTCGTCACCGTCCTCGGAACCAAGACTTTAAGTTTAATAAAACACATTGAATATAAAAATATTTACTTTTATTAAATTATAATTAATTAACATTTACTAACTGTTTCTAGAGTCCCTTTTGTTGGGTTAATTTTTTATAATATTGTCTTTTACTGTCAAAAGATTTAGAAATCCCCTCCAATTTAGCTATATGGTGAAAACGAATATTCAAATATTTTTCGGCTAT